AAGATTGCAAATAAAAATATAAATCATAAATGAAAATCAAGTCACATGAAAATGCATGAATATTATAGTATGGATTAATGTCTTAATTAAATTGCTTATTCTAAAAATTACAATCACTCAATACCGGTATACATATTCTTTCCAATCGAAGGAATACAAGTAGTATATTAAAACCACATGTTATGGAGATGCTCAAATTTAAATTTACAATTGTGTTCTTTTCATATACCAAAAGTTGAACATCTAGGCTTCAGACATACATGCACATACTGTAATTCCTAGTTTGAAAAGTGCAATCACGGTTAATAACTTCCCTTCAGTGAATACAAAAAAATGCATTATTGCACATGTGCTTAAAACTTTATTCAGTAACCAAAAATTAAGTTATGTATTAAGTCTTAGGTGATTATCATGATTATCTGTAGTTAACAATATGAACTTTCTTTTTAAGTAAAATAACAGATAAAACAATTAACAATGTGGTACATATTAAACCATATTGACACATTTGATATAAGAATATACAATTTGAAATATATTACTTATTTTCAAACTTGCTTTCACATACATATGAAGTTGTAAGTCAAAAACATGTATTTATAAAATCAGTACATGTATAATTAAATTTCAAACATAACAATTAAAAATTACAAAAAATCTTAATAATAATTTGAAAGAGTATTACTGTACATGTATATACCATGGAAAAAATCATTTGAAAATGCAGGCAAAATATGCATTTTTGTCTTAAATATATAAAAAGTACAATTACTTTTTAATACATACCTTTCCCAATGAAAGCGAAAGTTTTAGCAATATGCATAATACTTAACATTTACATAATAAATGCTTTCTCAGAACCCCTGATTCAAAGAATCTTGTTGAAAAAATTCAAATTGAAGGGAGCACTTTTATTCCTATAAAGTTTTTTATTATAAATGTAGCATATCATGTGCTATCATATTTATAAGTATTTTAATTATTTTCTAAAAGAGGTAGGTTTACCTCCCTTTACGGGCTGGCCATTGACCCCCTCTTTCCATACTTACCTGTTAATTATACATTGGTACATATTAAATTTTATCTAATAGAAGTAATCTTTAATCACTTGATGCTCACAACAATCTACATGATTTATGTATAGTATTCATTTGAATCAGGGAACCTGAGATTTCAAACTAAAATCTGACTATAGCTATGACAATGTAATGACATTTTTGAACTGTTAATAAGGCATTGTTATTTTGAAGAAACATATTTACAAAGGAGTTTATAGTACAAATAAGACATGATTAAGTAAAATATGATTCCTTTTTGTGTGTCAGGTTTTATCAGGTTTTTTGCTAAACAAAAAAACTTAACAAGCCACAAATCCAAATAAATTCAAAATATTTCAGCAAAATATAATTTTAAGTCATGTAGTCAATGAAGAGCTCCAACTCAGTGGTGTCCACATTCTATAAGGTGACACAGTACATTTTAATTTTTGCAATGATATATCTGGCAAATATTATGAGAAGATATGAATGTCACACAAAGTAGCTGGATTAGAGTCAGAACGATTCACAGATAATATGGCATATGGTCTAGAGTCACAATCAGTGCAGTCTATCAAAGAGTAAATTCTTCAATGTCCATCAAGAAAGACCACAAAATATCAGGATAAAAAAAGCTCCCAATTTAATATCCAATTATCGGTATTTAAATCCAAAGTCACATTATGGGACAGATGATTCTCAATTTCTGAAACATCAATACTGTTTGTAAGATATCTAAACTTTCGAAATGGTAATGCATTGTTCTCAGAATGGATATATCCAATACATTGAACAAACTACGAAATGAATATACATGATTATACTTATAACAATAATGGAAGTAAATAAAAAAGTAAAGAAATTTACAAACTATATATTCAAAAGTTAATACTTGTTATACATATACATAAAAAGAGATGTTCACAGTTTTACAAATCCTCAGATATAAAATCAACAGTTGATCAATCTACTGGTTATGGTCAGAAATAATGCATTTATTTATGAATATGACCTTTCATTTTAATTTAAATATGCATATTAAATTCAGCACTAATTGTAGCCATAGCAAAAGATATGAATTTTTTAAATCCATACAATTAAAATCTTAAGAAATTAAACATACCAAGTATATACATGTACGTAAGTACAATAAGAATTCAATATGTAACTGACAGTCAGGTCTAAAACATAGATGTCTTCATTTAAAAACAAAATCGATTTGATACAAAGATAAAGTACAAAATTCAAATTTTCAAATAGTGGGTTATTTAAAAAAAAGCCCAAATAGGGCTAATACCCCAACAACCGAATACGGAAAGACATATACTTGGCTAAAATTATTGCAAATGACCAAGGAAATGGCCTGAGTTTTGTTGAGATATAATTAGTTAAAGGTCATGTTATTATCCATTGAGGGAAGAACACAATTACCTACAGTTCAAGCTTTTGGATCAAAGAATACTCATTGACAACTTCTTAGTCATATTACAGAATGATTTTGTACAATCATGACATCCAATGAGATCAAGACAGATCCCTTTTTCATAAGCAACCTCTGCCAAAGTATAACATATAATATACACCCAGAACCAAAAATTTTAAACATTCCAAGACCTTGATCATATTTTTTAGTGGTCATGACAGCATATTAAAAACAAGAGGCCCATGGGCCACACCGCTCACCTGAGCATTCTGGCTATAAAAAAGCAAAAAGAGGAATATGGGCGTTAATGGTCACTTGAGTATTATGTAACCAATTTTAATATTTTTTAAAGTTCAAGAGTAAAACATTCATGGTATTTACCCAATTATTCAGCATTTAGGCATCTGCAAAATCAATCATGTCCTCAGGTTTTTTTTTGTGAATACAAGACGACCATTAATGGTTATACATGTAATATCATTAGTCTAAAATCTGTCACAAAAACTGTAGGATATATTGTCTGAATAATAAAAGGATTTCCATGTTTGACAGAAACATTTATATGTTCTAAAGTTGTATTTACCATGATTTTCACATGAACAGAGAGGTATCCTAGTTACTACATGTAACATAATTATTTGATGACAAATACCAAATGAATGATGGCTTCATTAATTACTGGGTAGAACATTGCAGTGCAACTTTAATGAAATGGAGATCGAGTCATCTTTCAAATCTTGAAATATACTTTACATATATTTATTTTCAATTGAAGTCTTTTTTCTGCTCCAAACCTGTTTTCACCAATATATTTCTATCAAGATGTAACCGTTCACAGCTAGATCTACCACCCTGCTTCTAAGATCTTGACCCCAGACCTGTATTACCTTAGACTTCAGGACCCACATGACATTGACCTTTTGATTTTACAACCAAAAGAAACGATGTCTGTAAAACACATATGCCCCCCCCCCCCCAATATTAATTGCAATTTTATCCATGTTCATAGTACATACTGTCAAAAATGGCTGGATTGACCGAAAACAAAAATTAACCTGGATATTTTTATGATAAATCTATATACTGAATTTCTTTTCAATATGTGCAACATCTGCAAAGAAAATGAACGGAAAAGTGCTTCTAGCTGGAATTTTTCAAGTCAAAGGGACATAACTATTCAAAATTGGTAGATTGTACCCAATGCAGAATGTGACTGTTCTTATGATAAATTTACGTTCCAAATTCAATTTTATTTTGACATATGCTCTCTCTGCCAAAAAATTTTAAATGGTGGAGTGACAGATCATTTGATCAACAGAGGATTTTTTTTTTACAATCCCAGGTCTATCAGTTCGTAGCATCTTCCTTGAAGATGAAAGTGACCAATTTTAAATGTGCAAAATATCTTCCAAGATTTACAGCTGATAAGGTTGAGATAATTGGGTATCGAGTTCTGACCAGTTCCCAGGATCATGAAAATTCTTAAGAACAGTAGTCTAAATATTGATCGAGTCAAGTAGATAATAATTAAAAAATATTTTCTTAATGTTGATTTACAAATTAAGGTGTTCATTGTTATCTGCAAAATTAGAGATTCATCGAATAATTAATATTTTTATAGACCAATCAAAATTTGACTTGGTCTTAGTTCGTTTCTTGACCCTCGGACCAGGTGCCTGTTTTACAAAAGAACTTGCGACCAAGACCAAAAATTTCAGATTATAATAAAATTTTGCAAAATTAATTGTTCTGTTTGAAATTGTCTGTGTAAAAATATCTTACCGAATTCTATTTAAAAAGTTTGAAATAATTTTCGATATAATGTTAATTGAAAAGTTATATGAATAATTAAACTTGGTCTTAAGTCACAAGTCCTTTTGTAAAACGGGCTTCATGCAGACACTTTTTTGTGAACGAAGATATTTGCAAATTATGCAAACTTTCATTTTGCAATTTGTTGATTTACTTTAGCTGCAAGAATAAATTAATGATTGTTGGAGAGCAAGTTTATTAACAACTATAGAGCAACTACAAAGTTCATATGAAGCATGATTTCAACCATTACAAAAGATGCTTTAATATGTTTAAAGAGACAAAGAAAAACAGTTTTAAAAAAATGGAATAACTGCAATTCTGTTTTCCTATGCATCTATAATGTGGTTAACATGCCATCTCCAATGTAAACAAATTCAAGATTTTAAATGGACTACAAACTGAAAACTCTAAATAGTTCTTGTATTTTCATAAGAACATAAACATGTAAATTTCACATTACCCACCTCCTATGACATGATCAAAGTCAACTTTATGAAACTGATATAGTTTAATATTCACTCATTTGACTTTTAGAACTAAATTCTGATATTAAATTTTGCAAATTAAATTTTCATTCCACTTAAATTTACAAGTTGATATTTAAAGTTTCACTTTCCCCTTCAAAACTCTTTAAAATTAAACAAAAAATTGAGATTTCAAGTGTCACAGTTAATATTAGAATTAATGAAATAATAAATTGCAATCAAAAAAAAAATTTCCGACAGTAGTGATCATCAAAGTCAGTGTGCACAAAATAGTACTTCAGAATAAAAAAAAAAAAAGTCACATAAAAGTTAACAACTGTAAAATAAGCAGTAATAAAATGCAATACATGTATATCCTTCTTTGGATTATACAACTCTGGGAAAAAAATCAACAGGTTTTTCGTGTTCAGACACAATTTTACACTGCATTCTTTGCAGGAGTTGGAATGTAAATGTTAACAACACTTGTTCCTGACACAACTACTTCCAATTCTTTCATGGATAAAAACGCATCTTCGATTTCATCAGAATCTTCCATGGTTTGAGTTGGGGAGAACGATTTCAGTGTTTGATTTGGTATTTGGAGTCTCCTTTGTTTCCCGTCCAGCATCCCAACTATTTCGCACTCTAAGAATTTATGTATGCTTGAAATGTTTTGCCGCATATTGCAGATAGTGCATTTGAATGTTTTCACTTCTTCATTAATGTTTTGTATTGTACTATTGCAAATAGTACACTTCCTCACCTTGCTGCATGAAGCTGACAAAATGAAAAGCTGGTTTTTTTCCTTTTTTATCGTGATGTCTTCATATCCATGGTCGTTTACTGCTTCGATGTTTTCAACTTCCTCGATGCTAGAATTTATGGCCGTGGACACCTTTTTCTTCTCATTCCAGATTCTCAGCGTTAAATTCTTGAATTTGTATGATTTACCAGGTTCAACAAGTGATATCTGTTCCTCCCATATGGTAAGCCCCATGGCCCCACTGTTGTCAGCTATGATAGATTCCCTTTTCTTCAATGATTTTCCTGAACTTGTTATCTGGTTATCAATGTCTCCGACTTCTAGGACTTTCGCTGCAACAGTCACCTGTAGTAGAACAAATGAACAGTTATTATATATTATTATTACTTATTGTGTTTTTTCATCTTCAACAAAATGTTTTTGAAACATACATGCCCTCGGCCCCTTTCACAATGGATAATAACTCTATGTGGCAATTTGTATACCCCACCCTCCAAAAAATTAGTTTGCTGGAGGGGGTAGGGATATTCAAAGAAATTTAACATCAGATTTCAACACAAATATATTCCACCATATAGCACGCCTCAGCAGAGTTGCAGAGAAAACTTTGAAGCAAAATTTGTAATATTAAATACATTAACACAGATAGCAGGCACATAGATACTTTCGATACAGTAAATCTATACAAGGATAATCTAGTTATATATACTGCTGATGAATGGTACTATGCTAATTGGCACTGAAGAAATTGGTGAGGAAAAAAGTTAACCCTTACTCATGTCCCCCCCCCCCCAAAGAATAGGATTTTTTTCTCTCAGGTAAAAAAAAAAAAATTCCTCTCACAGTCTGGTTAATTATAACTTTTAAATTTGTTGCGACTTCATTAAACACCCAAGGGTAAACGCTACCCCTCTCCTTCAGAGCAGGGGTGTAATTAGGAGTATCGTTATATGTAGTACCCCCCCCCCCCCCCCAAAAAAAAAAAATTGATGTAAACTACTGAATTTCAGTCCCTAAAATATTTGAATTAATACAGCCCTATATACTACTACTATACAAATTTTATAAAACAGAATGTTACCTTGGCATATTCCAAGACATGATCTTTTATGTCTGCAATGCTGGTTACCTCCGACTCCGGTGGGTTCTCAAATCTAAAATCCAATTTCTTGCAGGGAGCAATCCTAGTGTCCTTCAATATTTTGACATCAAATTTTCCTGGTTTGGTGAGACTTATGGCTTTGCCGATTTTTTGTAGCATCACTGGTGTTCTAATAAGACAAAAGTGAAATTGATTGGATTCATTTTCAAGCAGGTTTAGGATATTTTGAAAACAAAATATCATAGGTATTTGACAGTATGCATGGTGCAGATATATGCAATATATGATAATGATGTTACTTAAGTGCAAGTAAAGTACAGTTTATGGGGGGGGGGGGGTAAAGGGGGATAAATGCATGTTCCAATTTCTTACTAGTAATCAATAGCAAATTTATCACTCTTATTAGAGCACTTTCATTTCATATTTCCATAACTTCACATTACTGCAACCAGAAGTGGATGAGGGCAATTACACTTGTTGCTTTTAACCGTTTTTCTAATTGGGCTGGAACTCATTGACACCCCTCTCCCTTATTCCCCGATAAAATTTTCTTGATTCGGGCCCGTCACCATTGCTCATACAAATATACAATGGAGCAACCATTACAATATTGCATGTAAGATTAATAAATTATCCAGAATTTTAACAATATCCAATCGTATATAATTACGATTCAGAAACATTTTACGAAAGAGTGTTCAGCTACCTAACAGGAAGCTACGCCATTTTGTATAAAATTTGGACATCCGGTAATACCACTCGGAACCCCTCGGCCGATTGCCCGTGATCATTTTCCAAATTTGCAAGACTCTAACAGATGCAACACATTCCCCGAAAACAACATTTTGAAACATTTTTCTTAAAAAAACACATTAGATCTTACCTGTTCTTCTCTAGTTCTTTCATTTGCTCTAGCAAATCGCTGCGATAACACACCATGTCCAAAAAAGACTCATTATCCTGGAACTTGGCATTAAAATACTTGTTGTTATTTTTGGAAGTCTTCAATGGGGACACCTCGTGCACATAACCTTGAATGTTTTCGGCAGGCGTTTCATCCGACTTTACAATTAATTTCGCAAGCTTCTTCGGTGTGGCCATCTTTCTCCAAGTCTTGTGAGTGAATGGCGCGAGATGTAGCCTCGTGGTTAAGCGTAATCAACCAAAAGCGATTTTTTTCACTTTGACCAATTAGATTACAAAGAAATATCAGGTGGTTTCATTGTCGCGGGAATTCTTTTTCTGTGTTAGTGTGTCAAATGCCTCCAGTCGACCTTTTAACTTTTCCAGGAAAAGGTCTGGACAATTTCCAAATATGGAAGTCAAGAACGATGCCCGTCATTGCTATAAATACCTGGAAACACTGCTTATGTTTCTGACCAATCATTTAAGAGGCTGTCCACCGAAAAACCAGGCAATGGGTGGCACTTCGCATGTCATGAATTTTAATAATTTTTTGCATGTAGAATTATTAACATGTTTTTACACATGACAACATCAAAATTTTTAAAGCGCTCCTCTATTCCTAGTTTTGGTAAATGCTTAATTTTAAGTGCAAAAAGTTCAACATTAGGGTAAAAAAAAATACTACGTTTTTTTTTTTGTTTTATATGTAACAGATGCTCCAGAGGTGGATGTGCCGATGAATATTATTGATAGAATAGAGTTTTATCTTTAATTTTATGAATGAATAAGACTCCAATTTATACTTCTTTTCGAAAAAATTATCTGGTCCAAATTTGAGTTTAGCAGGTGTTTAAATTCAGTATCCAATTTTAATTACGTTATAAAACCCAATACAATAAAAGGACATATTTGTTTACTTATGTTTTTATGAATACAAAATACAAACTTTTGGGTCATTCAATAAAATCATTGGGAAAAGGTATTTTGAAAGAAATAAAAGGAGTCAAATTTACTTTTTTTTTTTTTAAAGTTTTCACAGATGAAACCGATCCCGACCGGAATTGTATAAAGAAGAAAATACTAAAATAGTAATGTCAAATTTGGCTCTTTTGCTGTAATATGATTAAGAAATTACTTGATTTATTTTTTAAAAATATTATATAGGTGGCAGGTGCCTTTCGTTTGAAAAATTAATTAATTTTGCATTATTTTCGATCGGGATCGGTTTTATTTCAATCGGGATCGGTTTTTACCGTAAATTTAGAAAAAAAAAATCCTAAATTGGGCTCTTATGGAATGCCATATACGATAGCTAACTGCTTACTGCCAACTGTCAGCTGCCTACTGCCGACTGCCACACATATTTGAATGAATTTTATTTTTATATTGCTATTTATTTAAATTAAAAAAAAAAGGCGCGGATCTATAGGACATTTTTTCCAAGACGGTCACTCTGGTAAAAAATTCCAACCCAGAAATTTCTTACAAGAAAAAAATACGTTAAGTCCTTTCCTAAATGTGAGAATTTATTTCGGCCGGGGAGAAGGGGTTCTTATGCGTCATACCTTCATGTGTATGACATTTTTCATACCAACTTAACACGAATCCACATTTTCAGTTCGGGAGGGTGTTTCTAAGGTCCCTTATACAGGCGCGTAGCCAGGCGTACGTTTGTACGCACAAACGTCCACATCATTTTTCAAAAAAAAAAAAGACAGACAGACAGACAGAAAAGAAAAAGAGGGAGAGAGAGAGACAGGCTTTCTCATCATTTTTTGCAAAATATTAGAAAATAATTTTCTTTAAAATAAATAAATACTTTTCCAAGATTTTGCCATGTTTACTATTGAATATTGCAGAGTCTTTTTTTTTCCAAGTGTAATTACATTCTTAAAGAGTTTCTCTGTTGTAGATTTCAGACTATAAAACCCCAGTCGGTTCTCTTGAAACA